GGATTAGGGAAGTCGAATACCTAAAAATCATCTTTTAAATAAGTTTTTGAGAAAACATCATTTAAAAGATAAACTGGTCTGCGTATAACCAAAAATTCATTCTTTTTAGAAATAAAATGGGATTCATGGTCGATTACGTTTGGGGAAGGATTAGCGCCCCCATATTGCCCAAAATTGGTACCCTTCGATTATAAATTGTCTCTATTAGTAGAAATTTAAGAATTATAATATAAAATTTAATTTACAATCGTGTTATTTCAGATTCAATCGGATAATTCTAAAGAAAAATATATTAAAATAATTTTTATAAAACTAAAGTAAATATATATATATATATATATATAAGATTTTATAAATAGGGTATTTATTTATTTAAAAATATCAGAAAATGACATCTAGTTACTTTAAGACAACCCCTTTCTTAATATTAAAAATAAATAAATATTAATAAGAATATGATAATTTTCCTAAAAAATAATTTAAATAAAACTAAAGTAAATAAATATTTTTTTGTTTTTTTTATAATTAGGGTATTTATTTATTTAAAAATATTAGAAAATGACATCTATTTACTTTAAGACATCCCCTTTCTTAATATTAAAAAATAAATAAATATTATCCTTTAACTTAAATTATAAAATATATCAATTTATACTTAAAAATAAATTTATAAGATTAAATTAAAAAGTAATGAAATTTATAGTCAAAAATAAAAATTACTTAAAACATCAAGGATTAAATTGTAAAATATCAAAATTAAAGGCCCCTAATTCAAAATATTATGAGATATAAGGGTTAACAGTGTAATTTAACCATAATTAATTATTTGGGGTTAAAATATAAATTATTAAAATCTAAGGGACTAAATCTATTATTTTACTCTAAATATATATAAATATTAGCATGGATTAAAATATAAATAAAATTAAATTAAAACACCAAATCGAAATGATCAGGAATTAATTTTAGTGACTAAAATGTAAAGTTACAAAACTTAGAGGGACTACAGGCCTATTTTACCCATATACGAAATTACACAGTCATCCCTCCCCCAAAACGACGTCGTTTGGGGAGGGGTATTTAAACCCAAAAACTGGCCATAAGGGCCATTTTTCACATTGCTTGTCTCTCTAAAGAGAGAGAAGCTCTCCTTTCTCTTTAGGATTCCCTCGTCGGAGGGAATCCGACCACCGTTGGCCACCGTTTTTTGGCGCCTATTGCCGCCGTCGGCCACCGCCCATGGTGGCCAAAATATGTCAAATCATCCCAAATTAAAGATCCAAACGTCCTAAGGTTGATTTCGGCCTCCGTTTCCCCTACACATCCCTAAAATTTTGTAGATATAAAGAAATATCTTCAGTATTTCGATTTCTTTGGGGGCGCATGGAAGCTCCGGTCACCGTGTAGTCCTCGGTAAGTTTCTCTCCTTTATTTTTGGTTCAATATTTGGCTTCTATAGGTTATTTTTCTTGTTGTGTCTTCTCCTTTTTTCCTTTGCATGTTCGGTGGTTTTATAGCTACCACGAAACATCCTTCAGACCGGGTAAAAAGGTGGTCTTCGGTGAGTCACCAAACTATGGTGGCGACTCACCCTATGCTTCAACGTGTGCTGCTGGGCTCATTTCTTCTGGGGACATTCGGGTGAGGTGGCTGAGGCGTGGCAGCTGCTGGAGTGGGGTGTCAGAAGCGGCGGCCAGTGTAGTCCCTAGGGTTATGATACCCTAGGGTTCCTTATGGCTCATCTATGGTTGTTGGATCTCGCCATATCAAACGGCTGATGGTGTTGGCGGCTGGATGCTGAGATTAAAACCCTAATCAGGTTTAAGGTTATTACTTTGGGTCGGTTCGGGTTGTCTGGACCGGATATGGACCCGGTTGGGCTTCTTGGCCTCATGGGTTTGTAATTAAGTTGGGTTTTTATTTATTTTGGGCATGTAATAGTAATAATAGTAGTAATAATAATAATAATAATAATAATAATAATAATAATAATAATAATAATAATAATAAAATAATTAAAATAATAATATTAAAATAAAAAGGGACAAAAAAATTAGTGTCTACAACATCTTTGAGCATTCCATTTCTTACCAGACAAGACATAAGAGGATTACATGCATGAGGATCGGGTTGAATACTAGTAAACTCCATTGATTTACATAGCCCCATTTCACTTCTAACCTTTTTGGACCTACTAAGTTAATTATAATTTTATTTAGTAGAAAATTCACTGAGTTAGAAAAAAAAATATTTTAATTTTTAGGGTAAATTGGGTGTTTAGTACCTAAATTATCTATTTTGGTCCATTTTAATACCAAAACTTTTATTTTTTTCAAAATCATATCTAAAGTTTAGTTTTTGTTTCATTTTAATACTCCGTTCAAAATTTAACGATAAGTTTTGAAAAAAATGAAAGTTTATGTACTAAAACGGACCAAAACTTATAGTTTAGGTACTAAACGCGTTAAGTTTTTAATGATGGGTACTAAAATGAAATGAAAACGAACATTAAGTATGGTTTTGAAAAAATTAAAAGTTTAGGTACTAAAACGAACAAAAGCTTATAGCTTAGATACTAATTGCATAATTTTCCTTCTTGATTTGATTAATACCTTTTTTTTTTAAAAAATTGAATTTATGTTCATCACATAAATTCGGTAGATAGCTTAGGGCCATCCAACAATATTCTATCCGCAACAGCTAGAGAGCGAGGCTCAAAATTATCCCAACATATGGATTGGCCCCTACATGATGTCTTAACTCCTACACAACACCAGCCATGAAGAAAAAGTAGCCCCAACTTCTTCAACATGACAACACCAAAGACCTTCAAATCATCAAGGCAGTAGCACAAGCCTGGCATTCTCATTACGGCACCTCTAGCTCCACCAATGAATTCCATGTTCACCCGTGTCGACGTTTCAGAGCCGAGCCTTCAAGATTCATGCTTGAAGCAATAAGCAACCCTTCTGCCAAGCTCAAGAACAAGGACACTAGTATTGCTGAGCCTGATGCCCCACATTGGGACTTTGGTCAATCACTGTGGGATTCATACGTGCTTGTCACCCTCGCCAAAAAGCTTGAAACTTACCTTGTTTTCGAGGACCCTCTTTCCGCAGCTGGCTTGGAATTAGAAGAAGATTCAAGTGAAGATAAAAACAGGCGAAAGGAGATCAAGAATAGCCTTAGAAACCTGTTAAAACGGGTGTCTTCTAGGAGATTCAATGAAGCTAATATTAATTCCCCCGAAAGATAAGAATTTCTTCTTCGGTTTGTGTTAACTGTAAATTGGATTTGTCAGTTCAACAGTAGCACAATTTTGGTCCTGCAACTGTAAACATGGAGATGGTAGTTCCTTTTGGTAGTCTGAGATCAAACATAACTTATTTTGAATGTAATTCGTCCTCTTTTAGCGTACTTTGAATTGGAACTATCATTTTCATATTTGAAGGTAAACATGTTTTAGAGTGACGGGAATGTAGTTAAATATTTTCTTTGCGCACTTGAGGTATTGAAATTGTGGGAGTAGTCTATACGTTGTAACAATTTTTACATAGTAATTATTCTGATTGCCTTTGATAATCTTTGTGATTTGTAGCATAGTTTTAACCTTACATTAGAAAAGAAATTTTTTTTTTCATATTGTCATCAACTTTATGAAACTAATTTGTCCCTAGTCTTCTAGGTTGGAGTTTATTAAAAAAGACGTGGTACGATGGAAGTGCCATGTTTTAAAAACATCTGTTTTTCTTGAGAAATACAAGGTGCATTATCTAGACTACGGTGGCTTCCACTATGGGGTGTGACAAGGAAAAAATGGATGGAAAACTCAAGTTTGATTTATGAAAGATAATTATAGAACACGTGTTAAAACAATTAGCTAGAGAAACACAAGATAAGACTGGACATTATGTAGGAGCAAATTTGACATACTGCTTTGACGTAAAAACTAGTACGAGAGCCGAAGAGGGTTTGATCTCCTATAAAATGACCATCCACTTGACCATAGAAGTGGAAGTGTTGCTGCTACCGGATTTCAAGTTATACATGAGCATTACTTGGCATTGATGAACTTTCAAGGAAACCAATAGGGAAGGTGTACTATAAGTTTTAGCATTTTTTAACATGTGTCCAAATTATTTTTCTACTTTTTATGATGGAGTATGATAATTCTCTATTTTGACAGTTGCGATCAATGTGGAAATTTGTTGGGGGGTTTTGACAAAAAATGACGAATGCGACTATGCTTAATAAAACAATGCATGTGAGACATATAAAGAACCTAGAGGACTTGGTTTTAAGATGTTTTAAGTCAAGTATTTAAAATGCCTATTTGATTTTTAATTTTTTCTCTGTTTTTTAAGTGGTAGGACGTAGTTAAATATTTTTTGGATAAATTATATATTTAGTACCTAATCTATCTGTTCTGGTATATTTTAGTACCTAAACTTTCAATTTTTCAAAACCATACCTAAAACAATCAAGACCCAGCTTGATGAAAAATGGAGGAACCAGGCGCAACAAATCCAATGATTCCAATGATTAAACCAGTAAAGCCAGAGCGTCAAAGCAGAAAAATAGTATCACAGCCTATGATTTGAAAAGTCATGGAAGGTGAGGACATTTACAATGCAAATGTACTAAATCATAACAAGATGGAAGCACAGTCCCGGACACATGATTTATAAAATTTATGGAATTAAAAACCCACACATGATTTATAAAGTCTGCTCCATTTGTGAAGTAGTGAACAATAGTCGGAAGATCTTCAAAGATCATTTTTCTGGACAAACGCATGGCGTCAAGGTCTGAAACGGGAACCTTGGCATAAAAGACATATGCAGAGATATTATTATGGTTATGATTTATTTATATATTTATTTTACTTCACTCAATTTATATTATAACGAAATTATCATTACAATAATAATCAAATTGATCAGTTAAAAAATTGCCCTCAAAATTTATCAATTTGAACAAATTAGTCCGAAAATTTTGCGAAAATTCCACTATTCAACTTCCTTGTAAAATGTATTTTTTTCGTAAGTACTATAGTTCTACTGAGTCGCCATCATCTGTATCGTATGTACGCCTTTTTACAGTATAAGCGTCCGACTGAGGGGCTCTGTAATTCTCCCTTTTCAAGTTTAACGCGTGCAATTAGGAAAAGAAGCGTTAAAGAAAACCCTAGGATACTGCTTCAGGTAGCAACTGTAACAATAGCATCCTCTGACGGAACATCCCATCAACGGTGTCGGAGAGAAACTCCGGCAATATAATCTGGCATTCACCGGAGAACATGAACCGGACGATTTTGAATACGACAGATTGTCGCTGGAAATATTAGACGGAGGAGAGATTTGCTTGTTCGACTTTGCAGTTGAAAGGATTGCACGGATTTTAGACGGTGAGGATTTAGACACCAACGCCGCTTCATCGTACACGGCGATTATATTCGTTAAATCCTCATCCGATTTTATCGATATTAAAGTATCTAAATCGCCGTTCGGTAACTGACACCTCAACGTTACCAAATACCCACAAAATTCATCGAGTTTCACTATCAGCTCTGCAACAAACACCAAATAATTGAATACTCATTTTCTTTTCCAATCGAATCATAGAGAAAAGAAAATGAAGATTGGCTCAAAATAAACCTGTAAACGAAATAGAACGATCAACAGAGAGAACTCTTGTAATGCCGCCGACGTAACGGAGCTTGCCATCGGTAGAACGGGGGATAATATTGCCTCCATAACTGCAAAGAAATTTAATAGCTTCTGAGGTGTTGGTGTTGGACTGAGTTTCGGAAACCATAACTTTGCTCCTTAATCTGTAAGTTTGTGGAAGGTCAAAGGAAGTTAGGGTTTAGAAGATTGTGGAGAGTATTTATGGGGGCGGAAGCGAGAGAGAAGGGATTTTCTTATGAATCTGAAACTGAAAGACAAGAAGAGGGATATATATATATATACCTGTATAGACGTGGGTCCTACACGCAAACCGAAAAAGGGCTTTAGTATTGGGCTTTGAAAGGAGACTAGTTTTTGTTGGAAATAGGAAGGAAGGAAAGGAATTTACTTTTGTTTCACGTAAAGCATTTTTTGAGGTGTGAAATTGATTCCATTCATAAAGAGGAGCCCACATCTGAGGGTGATCCTCAGCCCTTTTCTAACTCCTAAAAACGTTTGGACCTTCCTCTCCGTCCAAGGTTTATTCTGGGCTGGCCATCCATACCCATATTTTTCTTTCAATTCCCCTAATTAATTAAAAAAATTGGATGAGCTACCTAAAACAAGGGAAGTAGAGGTGGCAATCCGCTCATTCATATCAAGTTTGGGTCGGATCATTTTTTATTCTGGACTATTTCGGTTTAGATTTGTTTCGAGTCAAATCGGGTCTAGTTTGGGTTTAATCCGAGTCTATGAAAATTTAGCTTGGATTGGGGATCGGGTCGTGTCAAAATCGAATCAATTGATTCTTGGGTCGAGTTAATATTGGATCAATTGGTTTCATATCAAGTTATTATTAGATCAGTTGGTTTTAGTTCAAGTCAGTTCATATTAGTTTGAATTCGGGCTAACATTTAGATTTTTCTGTCAACCATTAGATTTTTAGATCAACTATAGTCGCTCTTTGTCGTCATAACTTTTGATGATGCTCTTTATTACTTATAATTCAAGAATTTTATGTGAATATATATTGTCACATCCCAAATTCAAATCTACAAATTTTAGTTTTAATCAATTGAATCAATAAATCTTTAAAATCAAGAATTTTATGTGATTATGTATTGTCATAATCCAAATTCAGAGCCAAATGTATTTCATCAGATATAGAGATGATCTTTCAATTGAGGAAATATTGTATTGAACCATTAAGCTATTATTATAAATGGTGGTTACTAGTAGTATAATAGAAAATGAGAATAAAACATACATTGTTTTACTATTTATCAATGCTAAAATTAGATAATAAATAAATAAATTATTCATTCACTTAGACTTAATTACCGGATTAAAATCATGTCAAAGTTTGATTTGGATCGAATATGGGTAAACTAGAGTTGCTTTCGGTTCGGGCTACTTTCGGTTTGGATTGCTTTTGATTTGAGTTAATTTAAGTTCGAGTTATTTTTTATCCAACTAAAATTGAGTTCGATTTGAGTTATTTCTAGTTTCAAATCAATTTTAGGTCATCCTGATTTGATCTATATCAAATCTCAAATCGAGTAAATCGATTCAAATAATCGAGTATATATCAATTTTATCAGGTTTACGGGGAATAAAACCCAAAAATCTTAATTAGAAAAATTTACATCTTATTAATAAAAAAGTAAGAAAATAGTGATAAACCAAGGCTCAAACCTATTACCTATGAGAGAATAAAGACATGTTCTAACTATCAAAATATATTTAATTTTTAGTTTATAATTGACAACATTATATATATATATATATATATATATATATTTAAATTTAAAGCTTAATTTATATTAAGTTTTAGGATAAACTATTTTAATAGATTTATATAATTATACATTTATAGATGAAAAAAAGGGAAGGAAAGAAAGGAGAATCAAACCAAGGACAATGTGAGACGTTAATGAACTAATCGTTGGGGTTAAGTAGATTTCTTGATTAAATATCGATAACATGTTTAATTAAAGGTTATTTAATTTGTGAATATTAAAGAAATTAAATATGAATTGTCTAAAATAATTATAAGATAATATATGGTTAAAAAATTAATTTATTAACAATGTACATATACTATGCAGATGTATCTACTCGAACTCAATACCTTTAAGGAGAACAACATTCTCTTTTACTATTGATTTTAAGGATATTCTAACCTTAGCTAGATTTGGAAGAGAAAAAAAATGAACATTCCCTGTTTTATTTACACACATACACTCATTTTTGTTTATTGTAATTCTCTATCTCTAAGTAGAACAACATTCCTTTTTTATCATTGATATCCATCTTTTACCAAGGATGGACGCATGATTATATACCAAGGGTGCGAACTTTTATATTTAATAATAATATAATGACATAAGTTAATATAACTAGTAAATGAAATATGAACATCAAATAACATTGTTCCTTATTCTTGTCTTCTACGTTCCAAAAAATAACGATTTACAATTTGTATCAATATACTAAAATTTTTATCTGTTAGAGATGAAAAAAACTTATCAACTATAAAAGATGAGTTATAGGATAATTCCTAAAATGCTTAAGAATAAAATAAAAACAACTTTCAAGATACGTAATAAGAAGATACAAAATATTACAAAAATTATCTTTTTACTTGTTAAAAGTAGGCATTTGAAATTGTATCCGATGTTGTTTCATATCAAAGTCATCAATAAGAGAATCTATTAATAAATCACATGTAATTTCCTTCTCAATATATGTTATTAAATAGCTCGACAAAAACTCTTCCTCCATTTTGTTACGTAAGTGAGTCTTCACTAGTTTCATGACCGAGAAAGCTCCCTATGTGGTTGCAGTAAAACCAGGAAGAGTCAAAACAAGACAAAATAGTCGTTCAATAAGAGGATAAATATTTAACTTTCAAGTCTCAACTAATACTTGATAATGTTCTGAAATTGTTGATGTCCTTCTCAATTCAAAGCTCCCTTGAGCTTCTAATTCAAAAAGTTCTAATTGAACTTTCAAGTGCAATATTTCCTTCTTGGTAAAATTTATTTGCAAGTTTGCATATATCATCAATGCAAAATGATATAAAACTATCCATTTGATCCAAAACAGAACTAAGCTTAAGTAACTCCACCATGCCATATTTGAATATAATGTTCATCTCATGCATTTTAGAGTCAATAGCAAAGATAAATATATCAACACAATAACAATGTCCAACTAAAATGGAACCTCGTTGAAGACGAGATCTCCAGCGGCCACTTTCCTTTCATATAAAGAATTCATATCAAGAATCTCTATATCACATTTATCACAAAATGATGTTACCTTCTCTAGTATAGGATCCCACCGTTCTTCTCTAAACTTTTGTATAAGCTTTTTTGAATTTGATACTAAATGCAAATCATTTAGTATATCTTAAGATTTACATTGCAAAGCTTGACTAAGATCATTAGTGATGATTAGAATATCTATCATGAGATGCAAGATGAGTACAAACTTAAAAGATGACATCACATCATAAATACTATACGTTTCGCTTCTCTGAGTCAAACCTCCATCACTTATGATGTTATTAAGAACATAACAAGTGGAATCAAACATCTTGAGCAAATTACAAAGAGAAGTTAAATGTAAACCCCACCTTGTATCTCCTGTACGTTGTAAAGTGTCAATATGATTTTTATTTTGTCATTTTATGTGTCTAACCCTTCAATAGAAATCATATTTGCAATATGACTTACTTGGGCATCTCTTAACTGATCATGTCTCTTGCACGAAGAGATAACTAAATTTATGATGATAATCAAATATGAGAAAAATTGTGTCACTGAAATCACTTTTTTGGATGTTGCCGCCAAGGTCAATTGCAATCTATAAGCAAGGTAATGAATTTAATAGGTAAATGGACATTTTGTAAGGAGGAATGCTTTCAAACCATTGAATTCTTCACGGATATTGCTAGCTCCATCATATCTTTGGCCTTTTATATCTTTCACATTCAAATAATGATGTCAAAGAACATTAAAAATCTCTTTCTTCAATGTAGATGAAGTAATTTCCTTCACATGGACTAGAACAAAAAATCTTTCTTATTTAAAACCTTCTTTATCAATATATTTCAACGCAATTGTCATTTGCTCCCTTTTTGATTCATCACGAGCTTCATCAACTATGACACAAAATTTTTGTTCTACGGTTTTATTTTGAATATGCTTTTATATCCGAGATTGGAAAAAAAAAAGAATCTCCTTTTAGATTCTCAGAGAAACATACTTTGAATTCTTTGTAGCATTATTTAAAACTATATCAACATCATTATTATAAGAAGCCAAGAAACTTACTAATTCAAGAAAGTTTTCACGATTAGTTGCATCTTTTATTTTATCACGACCCTATAAACCATAAAGCACAACTTCTATAGATATTTTGAGTTGCAATCTATTTCTTGCAACTTGTTAAGATGTTTGTTTCTCAATTCTCTTTTTGAAGAGAGTTTATCAAATCATTGTGAATAAAGTTAGCATATTTCCTGACATAAAGTAGGAAAACATGATTAGAACCTTCATTAAATTTTTTCCAAGATGGAAAGCCATCATGAGTAAAAGCATTTGATCTAGGAAGTCCAAGAGGCTTATTAGAGAGAAAACATGAAAGACAATAAGTGACATTCTTGGTTGGTGAATATTCCAACCAATCAGGAAATAACTTATACCATGAATTCAAAAATCAGCGCCCATACTTATCAACATATTTCAAATCATTAGAAGGAATGGGTTTATAAGGACTTTTTTCGATATATGCTTTTCGAACTTCATCTTGTTGATTTGGAGTAAAATCTTAAATAGAATTCTGTATTCCAGGATCATGCTCAATAGTGGATGCATCAAAAGTTTATTGTTCAACATGCATCAAAGGTTTCTTGTTCAACTCTTGGAATTTTACTCGGACGATTATCCATTATCGGAGAATTAATGGGTGTCGAACTTGGAGTAAGAGAATCCTCACTAGTATGGGGATAATTACTATTAAGTTTGGGCTCCTTTTGATCAACCAAATTTTCAATGTGAAAAGAACCAATATGACTTTCAGAAGAATCCTTTCTTTAAAAAAAGAATCAATTTTTTTGATTACCCATATCGAGTTTTAGATGTTCCTCACTCCTCCATTTCATGAAACAAATGTCATATTCGACTCATTAATATCTCAACAATTATATTAAATATATTAAATTTATATAAAAAA